TCACATAAATGTAGTGAGGAACAATCCTTTATTGCAAAACATATATAAATGTATGTTATAAATTTGAAAGATTAATATCATAATATATGATAAGTATTATAAAAACTCCAAAACAACTTATATTAAATTTACAAAAATTAAAAAATTTACAATTTGAAAAAATCAAGTTCACGTTTAAGTAAATAATAGAAGAATTAATTGAATGCTTTAATATTTGTCACAACTAGCAAATTAGGGTTAAGATGTTGATCCTTGTACAAGATAATTTCCTTTGTGCAACCTTGTAACATTACCGTTAGTGAAATTCAAACTGTACTGCTATTTAAGTTCATACGTTCCTACATTGTGATTCAAGTCGAACAACCTCATGCAAGCCCAAAACTCGATCCAATAAGCCAAGTCCAATCATTTTTGGGCCTTAGCCCAAGAATCCTTGGCCCAAAACCCCTATTGGACCAAAACTACTTTATTGGGCCCTATTGGGCCGATAACTTCTTAAATTGGTCTTTTTGGGCCGAAAACCTCTCTTTGGGCCTAATGGGCCGAAAACTTCTATTGGACTTTATATTGGGACAAAAAACCCCTTATTTGGACCAATAATTATTTATTGGGCCTTATTGGACCAAAGACTCCTTCTTTAGGCCTTATTGGGCCGAAAACACTTCAATGAGCCTTGTTAGGTCGAAAACCCTCATTGGGCCCTCCTATTAGGCCAAAAACTCTTGTGGGCCAAGCTAAAAATCGAAACCACCCTATTTGGGCCACCCTTGGGCCGAGAAGCCTCTTAGCTCGGTTGGATTAAAAAAACAAAAAAAAACAAAAAGAGATAAGCTTGGTTAATAAGCTTGACACCTCATGTTTAACTAACATATAACAAAGCCATTGTCCAACAAACATCTATACACCTCCCATCACCTTTAGGAGAGATCAACCCCTACTCCCCCCCCCCCCATTCTCTATTCTCGGCCGCAAACCCCCACCCTCCCACACACTTCAAGCATTTTTCTCTCTAAGTCTCAAGAACACTCTCCATTCTTCTCTAAAATTCTCTCATTTCCTTTCTCTAAAAATTTGTGGGTGTGTGTGTTAACTTCAAAGAAGTCTCCTTCAAGTTTCATAAACTTGGTAAGTTCATGTCAAACTCAAGTGTTTTGCTTCATATTTATGCTTAGAATATTCAATTTATACACTTTGTTGTGTGTTAGACTCCTTAGAACACCCACATTTCGATAATCTCTCCAAGACATAAGCTAGGCTCGAAATTTTCTTCCTCTTCTTCTTCAACATCTCGAAAATCCTCAAGGTGAGCTTCATACCCCACTATTTTCGAGCTTTCCATCCTTTTTTTTTCGGGGGGGGGGGGGGGATACAAGTCAAGTCTTGTTTAAATCTTTGAATATTTGCATGCACTTGTATATTTATGTGACTATGTGTGTTGAAATGTTGATTACTCCAAGTTAACACTCCATAAACTCGAGATTTTTTAAATCTCATAGTTATCTTCGAATAAGCTCACATATTTTGGTATTATGTTGAGGAAGAAATAATATACTAAGTAAAAATGGCTTTTAGTGTGTGGTAAAAATCAAAGAAAATGTTATAACATATTTGGTTGTAAAAGCTTGAAAAATGGTGAAAATATGAGAGTTACACTGAAAATGGTTAATTTTTTGTTATATATATATTTTTACCACTAATACTTGTACAAATATTGGAACATAACAAATCCCATGGATTTATATGAGATTTTGTGGAATTTGTGACATATTATAGTCACAACAAAAATAGAATATTTTGTTTACAAGGCTCTCAAATAAAATTTTGGGTATGTTAAAACACGCTACAAACTTGGTTATTTTTTCTAAAGACTATTTATATTAGTAAAATAGTCGTAATATGCGGTCATATTTTACTAGTTTGAATATTTAAAGGATTATACTATTTACTCAACGTATATTATTATTAGACAAATTCATTGATGATTATTTATAAAAAGTGTTATAAATAATTGAACTAAAAACGGTATACAAACCAAAAAGTTTTACGACAAAAAATTTCGCATAAACCTGTTAAGGCACTTGTGAGACTCTCCTTCGCCGTACCTACCTAGCGTACACCGTAAGTCCTGTAGTTATAACCAGAGTCTCCTGGAGGGAGAGCGAGGTAATTGTGTATAGATCTATACGGGGGTTGACACCCCCACACATGAGTTGTTCGCTACAGCTAGACTAGGCCAGTCTAGGGTGACAAATATATTCCCGAAACCGACGCCTGAAGAATGTCATGACAGGCATTTTAGTCGTATCAAGAATGGTTGTAACGACTCACATAGGGATTAACAATGTTATTTTGGATTTACGATATTATACACTTCACCGTTTTTATAAAAATATAAAACTATGCATCACTCTCGTACTTTACTACTACCGCTTCAGTCTTAGGGTTATATGACTGCACTTTTTATAAAACAGGAAATATGGGATTTTCTGGGAACTCACACTCTTTTCAATTACGAACAAAAGAAAACAAAGAACACACATGCAATTATCCACAGTTTTAGAATAAGACTGCAAACCAATTTTTACAGGAAATATCGGATTTTCTGGAGTTTTACAAATTATAACAAATCAAAGATATTACAAAGTTTTTATACAAATATGCTTATGAACTCACCAACTTTTTAGTTGACGCCAGACTATGGATTTTGGATACTTACTACATTTTTGGAACATCATATTTATTGTCACTTTTGTGTAATGTTGTGAACAAATACAATTGTGTGAGCAATGTATGTTGGTATCTTTAATGTATGATGTTGGTTGCTATGTTTTCAATTATATTCAATTGTGATGATACAATGCAATGAAGTCATCCGCTCCCGGACGTTTCCGCCTTCTCGGTTCGGGGGTGTGACAATATTTTCATGTAGTAACGATATTTCATTTATTGAAATTATAAAGTAATGATACAAACATCAAGTGTAGGACGAAATACATACAATGTAAAATACAATAGAAATAAACTATATACTAAAATTTTAGGTTGAACGGATTGATTATTACAAGTTGGTATACAAGCCTCGGTTTGAGGGATTCAGGCTAGCATTGGGTGCATCTGAACTCAAATTGAGGACTTGAGGATGTCTTTTATAAAAACATTTTTTGAAAAAGTTTTTAAACAAATAAAAGTGTGCGATTCGTGTAATCAATCAGAGCTTAATTAAGTGATTTCCATAATACCCCTACATATTGTTATGCTATAATTTTTTTATAGTATGGTAAGAATGATATAAGTTAGAGTAATGATCTGCTCATGATTGCATGCTAGAACGCCTACTTAGAGAGATGTCATTTATGCATGTTATGTGAGCTATTAGAGATTCACGATAACGTTTAGGCTAAGGATATTCCAGGAATTTGTAACAACTCGAAAATCCTTTGGTTAACGATTTTAGATTTTCATTACTCGAATAATTATTGAAGTGAATGATTCTATATTTATGATGTTAAAATGGAATAAATTAAATAAAATAGTATTATTTAATATCCAAAAGAATTAATCAATAATTAAGAGAAATATTGTTACAACCGGTAAAAATTGTTCAGAGTTCGGCGGTCAATCCACCGCGAACCGCTATGTGTTAAGGACCAATTGTGTGTAAAATTATGTTATAATATA